ACCACCCCACATTTATTCAAATAACATCCCAAATCTCTCTTGGGAAAAGGGCAAGAGTGCTGGACCTAGGGCCAGGCCCCTCTAGTCAGCAGGGAGGTGTAACCAACCAGGGCCCAAAGGGCATGATACAGCCAACATCTGCATGGGAGGCAGCTCCCCTGTATTCAAGATCTTCTTGCTGTGGGCTAAACACCCCAGGTGGCAGGGAAATGGCTGTCTGCTGTATCCAGGTGGTGGTGGGGCCTCCAGCTCATCTTGGCACTGTCAATGGCAAATCCATCTGGGAGAAGAGAAGGCAGGTCTGGAACAGCTCCACCTTAAGCACTCCTGGTCCCCATCAATTCATGAACTGGGTGTAGCCCTCTGCCCCAGTCACAATGACATCCATCCAGATCCTCATGGCCTCAGCTGATGGTGCCACCATGTAATAGAGGCGGTCGTGGGTCTTGACGCAGAAGGTAAGAGCTGGGTTGGGACTCTGCAGAGGGGAGAGAAAAACATGGGGAGCTTGTTCCTGCAGTAACTACAGAGCCAGCTCTTCCCCCCCCAGTGATAGACCCAATTCCACACACACCCCAACAGCAGCCTACGGCCTGTTGAGGACTTTTCCAACTACAGCTAGTGCTCCGGGGGGGAGGGGAGGGGAGGGAAGGGAAAGAGCAGTGCTGAGATTCAGCCCCATGCTGAGCATTTGCAGTCCTTTGGTAAATGGGCCCTAGTGAGGCACATTTGTCCTTTATCTTTGTGCCAAAGCCTGTGAGGCACAGAGAGCTGCTGGGCTACCAGTGCAGGACCAGACAAAGCATCACCATCATGGAACAGTGCTGGGGACTACAATCAAGCTGACTACTACCTGAACAAGGCTAGGTCAGAGGCTCAAGCCTGTACAGCTGCCTGTCATGTTGTTGCCCAACTCCACCCATCCTAGAGAGAGGAAGACATGTCTGCTGGGCAGAGTGGGGGCAGCCCCTAGTGCCAACCTGCCTACACTGACGTCAATGAAAGCAGGATTTGGCCTGAAGAATGAGGTAGCAGCTTGAATGAATGGAGAAGGGGAAGATGAAGTATAGGACGTCCTGAGATGATGGCACTCCAGGCACTTGAGATCTGCAGCCACAGCCCTGGAGGAGGAATGGCTGCAACAGGGTAGATATCTCCCAGAACAAGGAGAGAAACCTAAAAGCTGAAGCTACTGTATTGACTCCTCATTCCAATCCAACTGTGTTGTCAGACCAGAACAGCACTGAGGACACCAGGGTTGTGGAGAATGGAGCTTACACAGGACTAAAGGTTCCACTACTGTGTTTAACGACCAGCCAATCTGAGAGCCACTGCGACCTACTGAACGGAGTCAAGACCCTGGGGGTCTGTCCCTGGCTCTCCTAGTGCAAACATGGCCATAGCCAAGTCAGATCAGCTCTGTGCCTTGACTTCCCAGCTGATAATACATTCTTCCTACAAATTCGGTAAGTAAGCCATCCATCCACTCAGGCAGGGTGGTGCTCCTAGAATCAGACCAATCCCACAGCACATTCCTGAGCAGCCAATCGGCATGCACAGATTAACCCCCAGCCAGGCTGAGGCCAGCACAGAATGGCAGTATAAAAGAGGCTCAGACCTTGGCACATGACCCTTACCAAGGGCAGAAGGGAGCTGCAGGTCTGGCATCTGTGAATCGCATCTGCCTGGAGTCAGTAGGAGACAGCTATGTGGCACTTTGACCTCTGTGGACCAGGTCCAGCAAAGGAGGTAGGGATACTTACCGCTCTCCTCCATTTCTGCAACCCAGAGTCCAGCCCCCTAAAATTCTCTCCCCATCTTACTCAGCCCAGCCCTCACAGCCCCTAAGTGCTTGTGGTTCCAACCAGCACTTTGATCTCCCCTGCATGAAACCCCAATGGCAAATGCAAGGGATGCTCATTCATCCTAGTCTTTTTTTTTTTTTTTTTACTACAGTACCTGATGCTACTCTTATCAAAGTTGAAGGGAAAACTTCCCCTATCTATCCTACCCTGTTTCCCCGAAAATAAGACAGTGTCTTATATTAATTTTTGCTCCCAAAGATGCGCTAGGTCTTATTTTCAGGGGATGTCTTATTTTTCAGAAATGAAAAATGCCTTATTATCGGTGGATGCCTTATTATCGGGGAGGTCTTATTATCGGGGGATGCCTTATATTACAACGAGAGGCAAAACTGTAAATAGGCCTTATTTTCGGAGGATGTCTTATTTTCGGGGAAACAGGGTAGGAGCAGGCCTAAAGAACTCTGAGTGTATGGTGAGCATGACCAATACAGTCCACCCCTAGTCAATCTTGTAAAGGAACCCCCAACCCCACTGCAGAGAGAGGGTGAGGCTCGGAGGCAGAGGGAAGGAGCCTTCGGCTGCTGGTCCAGAAACGCCAAGTGCAATACAGAATAGAGCCCATTGCAGAGTGCATTGCTAGTTAAAAACAAGTGAGCATGCAAACTGCTACAAATAGGCTGGGGACCCAACCAGTCAGGCAGTCACCCCACAAAACAAGAGAAAAGAGTGAGAGGCAGAGAGACAAGTGCACTGAGACAAACCTCTCTTCGGAAGTGAATGGGGAGAATATCTGCTAGTTGCTAGAAGAAAATAAAGACAAATGCAATTAGAACAGTTCTGTAGCCTTGCTCCCATTGGAGCATCTGTTGCAGCGACTGAAACCCTCTCCCCATGTTAATGATGCACCCTAGGCAGCATTCAGCAAATCAATTGGCTCCATTAGGGCAGGGAAAGCACTCTATTAGGCACAAGCGTTAGCATTTGAACCTTTTACTACTTAAGTGAATGGCCTAAGCGCAGGACTAGGTGGTATTCCAATGGAGGAGGGAGGGCCCTCACTCTTTCCTATTGAAGCTGGTCCATCTTCATTAAATAACTCAATAGTAGGGCTGTCAAGCGATTAAAAAAATTAAACAATAGAATACCATTTATTTTAAATATTTTTGGATGTTTACTACATTTTCAAGTATACACCTCTACCCCAATATAACGCTGTCCTCAAGAGCCAAAAAAATCTTACTGTGTTATATGTGAGACCGCGTTGTATCGAACTTGCATTGATCCACCGGAGCATGCCGCCCCGTCCCCCAGAGCGCTGCTTAACCGTGTTGTATCGGGGTAGAGGTGTATTAATTTCAATTACAACACAGAATACGAAGTGTACAGTGCTCACTTTATATTTATTTTTTATTACAAGTAGTTGCACTGTAAAAAACAAAAATTGTATTTTCAATTCACCTCAAGAACTGTAGTGCGATCTCTTTATCATGAAAGCTGAATTTACAACTGTAGAATTATGTAAAAAAAATCTGCATTAAAGATAAAATAATCTAAAACTTTAGAGCCTACAAATCCACTCAGTCCTACTTCTTGGTCAGCCAATCACTCAGAAACAAGGTTGGTTACAATTTGCAGGAGATAATGATGCCTGCTTCTTGTTTACAATGTCACCTGAAAGTGAGAACAGGCATTCGCATGGCACTGTTGTAGCTGGCGTTGCAAGATATTTATGTGCCAGATGCGGTAAAGATTCATATGTCCCTTCATGCTTCAACCACCATTCCAGAGGACATGCTAATGATGGGTTCTGCTTGATAACAATCCAAAGCAGTGCGGACTGATGCATGTTCATTTTCATCCTCTGAGTCAGGTGCCACCAGCAGAAGGTTGATTTTCTTTTTTGGTGTTTTGGGTTCTGTAGTTTCCGCATCAGAGCGTTGTTCTTTTAAGACTTCTAACAGCATGTTCCATGCCTCGTCCCTTTCAGATTTTGGATGGCACTTCAGATTCTTAAATCTTGGGTTGAGTGCTATAGCTATTTTTAGAAATCTCACATCGGTACCTTCTTTGCGTTTATCGAATCTGCTGTGGAAGTGTTCTTCAAATAAACATGTGCTGGGTCATCATCCAAGACTGCTATAAAATATATGCAGAATGCAGGTAAAACAGAGCAGGAGACATACAATTCTCCCCCCAAGGAGTACAGTCATAAATTTAATTGATGCATTATTTTTTTTAACGAGCATCATCAGCATGGAAGCATGTCCTCTGGAATGGTGGCCGAAGCATGAACGGG